GAAGTCGCAGGGAGCGAGGTCTGGCGAATAGGGTGGGTGGTCAAGCACAGTGATGTTTTTATTAGCTAAAAACTGCTTCACAGACAAGGCGTTGAGGGCTGGAGCGTTGTCCTGGTGCAAAATCCACCCGTTTCTCCATAATTCCGGTCGTTTCTTTCTCACACGTTCACGCAATTTTGTTAAGACTTCAATGTAATACTGCTGATTTACCGTCTGGCCACTGGGTACCCACTCTGCCATCACAATACCCTTGATATCAAAGAAAACAATCAACATTGCCTTGAACAGCTGTGCGTGGACGTCCTGGGCGATCATCATCTTTCACGCATTCTCTGCCTTCCGAAAATCGTTTGTGCCATTCAGAAACGCGTGCACGAGACATGCAATCTTCACCGTAAGCCTCAGTCAATAATTGAAAAGTTTCCGTTTCGGATTTCTTCAATTTAACAAGAAACTTGATGTTAACTCGTTCAATTTTGAAGTCAGACATTTTCTGGGTAAAAACACGTCTGTACAAAAACACTCGTCCACTGCTACTGAGTGAAGCAAACAAGTTGAAATTTGCGTCACTGGTAGAGGACAGATCAGGGTCAAATATGGTCTGCTTATTTCGCCCTCACCATAATTGTTTGCCTACTTACAGCATCAGTCTCGTTATTTTTGTGGCAGACCTCGTATATAGCATCTTTGACCATTCAAAGAAATTGTATTAAGCTTATAGGACATTAAGTTTAAGACTTTGTACTTAAGTTCAATTTCACAAGAATACTAAACAATTAGCAAATAAAAAATGAAGAATAACCTATTAAAATGACTATTTCTGAGGTGACACAGCATTCTGAGTATAAAAATAGCCGACATTACTACCTTATTTATTTTAGATTGTTTTTATTATGCCAACAGTGTTTCTCCAGTGTTCTTCAATGTTCTTGCTATATTTTTCTTAGCTGCAATCAGAATGCAAAAGACTTCATTTTGTTAAATTACACGGGTTATGAAGAACAGGCACACAGCACAATATTTGAAGGCAGTATGTAAGTGATAACTAGCTCTGAGATCACCAAATATAAATGAATCTTATACACGATCACTTCAATGAATGTGGAAACAGTACGGCGACATTTTCAATTTGTCTTGCAAGTTCATGAATTTGTTGTAAAATTGCTGTTTTTTTTATTTTGTATGAAGACTTTACTTCTTGTAGCTGAACTTCTGAATCTGTAAGCAACAGTTCCATTTCAGTATCTTTCTCCTTTGCCTGTAGTATGCAGCGTGGCAGCCCTCGAGCTGATGGGTCATGCATCGAGGACGACGTGTCGGGCAGCCCTCGAGCTGATGGGTCATGCAACGAGGATGACGTGTCTCCATCAGTATCCTCATCTGAAGCAGAAGTGTCGTTACGGCTCCTTACCCTCTGACACCGAAGTATACAAGCTTTCATCCTGTGGCGCAATGCATCCAAAACGCAAGCCAAAATTCTCTTGTCATGAACACCGAGTTGATTTATCTGAAGGTCAGACTGTTTCTCAGCAATAACAGTCTCCTGCGAGAAACAAGAAAACTGTAAGCTTGTAAGGAAGTCATGAAATATCAGTTGCAAATTCCTGCCTACATTTTACACAAAAGGAATATTTATTCAGCTTCTCTCGTGACTTTCGCTTATGGTATAAACCCTCGGGTGTTCAACTGTAGGGCATGGGCTATTACTGGGGTGTGCGAGGATTTGAATAATGTTTGCCTCAAAAAAATAGACTAATATTTTACTGTGTTTGACGTTTTGTCAATTATCATTATCATCATTATTCTCCAGCTTAAGTTTGCTTTCTTCCTGATTTTTATTCTAAATTTTATGTTAAACATTAATGACAATATTTTGTATTTTCATACTTTGATGAATCAATTTATTGTGTTTAATATAACCACAAAAATAGAGATAAGGTAAATGAAATTTTTATTACTATACTTCGTAAAACCCACAAAAACATTTTACAGATGGGAAGGAGCGTAGGAATTTCAAATCAGAAGGAGGAAGCAAGACGTAAAAGTTTAAGGCAAACTGGTGAAGGCAGTCGGCCGTATCTCTTCAAAAATAAAAAGTGAGAGTGACGTGACAGAGGTGTTCCTCTGAGCGTCGCGGAAGAAATAATGTACCATCAAGTTCTCACCATCCATTCCCAGAAGACAGAGCACTTCTTAAGCCACTGCCTGTGAGTATCAATGAGCAAGATGTTGTCGTTAACGCTATTCAGATATTCTGGTAGAAGCTCAGGGTAACGAACAAGTTTTGTTTCGATGACAGACAGATGAGGTAACCCACTAGAATTAACAGTACTTTCATGAACCTGTGGAAAAAATTGAATCATATTACAACCATAATTGACATGACAACTCATTCTTAATCTAGCAATGGTGTTACAACTCCTGAGATTATATAGTAATAAATAACAGAGAAATATTTAAGGATGGTGGGTCATCGATATGAATGTAGGTAGAAGAGGAAGCCCCGCGCTGTAGCCGGAATGTGTGCTGGTTCGTGTCTCGGGGGGAGAAGAAATTTCTCATGAGATTTTCGACCAGTGTGCGGGACCGGTGCCAACCCAGCATCATGAGGAAATTGGGGAGCTACAATGAGTAGCGTAATCTGGTCAGGAAAGCTAGCAATGGCTGGGGGTTCATCGTACTGACCACACGTCACCCAGTATCTGGTTGGATGATTGTTCACCTCTGCTTAGGCATGTGAACGTGAGGCCAGCAGCCAGCTAGTCGGCTTTGGCTCACATAGGGCTGTTACGCCACGGATTATTATTATTATTAGAAGAGGGTGTATGTTATTAACTATCTGGAAGGCAGAAATACATGCACATAGATGCCTGAGAGTAGTACAGTGCTGTATTTTAAAATTTTTGGTGAAAGAGAAAGTGAAATTGGCTAAAATTCTTCACAGATTAAGTGCACAATATGGGGACGAGACTGTATCGTCTGAATGTGTGTGTATGATTGGTGCAGCAAGTTTTCCAAAGACTGTGAGCAGGTTGCTAACTGACCACATCAGTGAACAAAATCAAGGGGCAGAGTCCTGGGTGAGCACTGACCTACTTGCAAAACTGTAACCTTACATCATAGTACTGCGGTTCTAGATGCTGAATGGGGTCTATGTGATATGGATATGAACATTCAAAATTTAATGCCTGCGAGACTGACAAGTGAGGAACACAAAGCTATGAAGAAATCCTACTAGTATTTGGGTGCAAACCTATATTCAGCCACAACGTTCTCGTCTTGTTTGTGGGGACATTCCAATAAAAATGTGTGAGTTTCCTGCAGATGTCTGTGAACTGCCATGAGAGTTAATTTATTAGAAACTATTTGGCCTCGGAACTACTTTAGATATCTTTAACTGCACTTGTTGCACACGCTTTCAGCACCAATAACTCTGCAACCATTGCGATTAGGGCACATGCTTATATAAAATTTCTGTCAAAAATGAATTATCTCCTCCTCCATTATCCAAATTTTCATGTTTCATCTGTGGAAAACATGCATTAAAGTATAAATATTAATCACAATTTATTTTTAATTATATTATCCTTTATTATAATTCTACCCTAATATCACACACAACGTGCAAAACCTATATGCATTACATGAAGACGACAATGTTACAAGAACATTAAGAGGCAAATATAAAAGCTATATAATTACCCGGTTTGCAAAAGTGACTCTTGCCTGATTAGTTTCAGCAATAGCGTTCACATTGTGCCTTATTTTTCCAGCAGCCCAAAGAATGGAATTTAAAGTACTTTCCAATGATCCCGCCTTGAACACAGGCTGTAAAGGAACACTTTTGGTTTCCTAAATCACAAAAGCAAAAAACAAAATTCTTTAGAGATGCTATCAAAATCATAATCACGTGAACCAAAAGCTACAAAAGGCACAAACATATGCTGTGAAGCAGATCCTCACCAAACTATGCACAGCAATGAAACTTTTAAGAAACTAACATTTGTGGAAAAATTATTGTGGTAATAACTGTCCGTCTCGGCATAAGCCCCTCTCTCTTTCGTTGTCATTCTTGTGCAGACGATACATGGTAAAAGGACATGCAGAAAAAGGAACAGCAACTGAAGATCACCTCCGTCTTCCGTTTCCCCTTTTAACGTGCATTCTTTCATTTGGTTACCTTAACTTCCAGTCAAGTACACCGACATCATTTTATTATTGGGCTAGAAAGTGAACGCAAGTTCATCATAGACAAAGGCACAGTCGGCCAGTGAATCCATAGACTAATGCCACATCAACGTAGTTATGACAGATGGAGATCGTCTCATGGAAATAATGTCTGTATAAGTGGGATGGTGTTGTGCCCTTTCCGTCTCTGACAAGACGCAGTTCACAGGTAGGACGATCGAGAAGACATGGTGGTATAGGTATGTCTATAAGGTAAGACTCACTGAAGGGTCTTATGAAGACATTCTAAAACTTGTTGGATGTGTGTACTCGCAGGTTGAGAATCTTTAATGTTGCTCTTGTACCTGTAACAGAGACTGGAGGCATTCTGCAACCAATCTGCTGGCACAGAGCACAACTGCGTACACCAGAGTCCTTGGTTGGTCGCTCAGCCACTCAAGAAATTCTTAACTTTTTATGGGAGGTGAAAGTTCATTAGCATGTTCCCAAAAGCCGTGATACATTTTAATAGCATCCTCCCATCCATATCTAGGCCTTCGGAATGATTTTTCTCTTGGAGTTTCCCCAACTAAAATTCTGTACACATTTCTCCTCCTCTGCGCATTTCTGCCTATCTCATAATCTTTAATTTTATCGCTCTAATAATATTAGATAAAGAAGAACTGAAGAAACAATGAAGGGGCGTGATTTTCGAATGACATGTTCACATGTAAGAGGATGAGAAATTACAAGATCAGACATGAAATTGAGATACATATCACTTGATATGCATTTGCTATACCTGATTCACTTTAACATCAAACTCCATACTCATTGGTGATTCCCTTAATTTCCTATTGGTGGATACTTCTAGAACATCTGAAATAAGCATTAGCCAGCCCATTGCTAATAGGAGCTCCCTGCTTCCTGATGACATATCCGGCGGAAGACAATAAAATTCAATGCTGTTGTATTTCATCATAGCAAAACTCAGTTTTACAAAACTCACAACATCATCTGAAACAGAATTATAAGAACAATTAGGAATTAATAACGGCAGAAAAGTTCTCCAGACATACATTACTTAAGAACATAAAATATTCAACAACCATTCTTTAACGCATGGCCACTTCAACACGAAGTGCAGAACACACTTGAGGCAAGGATCAACCTCATTTACAGACATCGCAGTGCTTCGTATTTCAGACGTCCAACCGTAAAGAGCGCTGTGCAAATCTAAGACGCAAAGAAAAATTAGTTTGCATGAACCTAATTTCTTCCACGCTATGAACTCAAATTGCAGGACATAGCAATATGAAGCCTGCTGTGTAAAAACTGATATTGTTTTTTAATCAATTGTTCTTGGACTACCAGCCGTATGAGGTGGTTTAATGGAGAAAACGCCATCTTGAGAACCATTCTCGTCCTCAGGGTACTGTCGGTACCCACCCTGAGGATGATTCTTGAAACGGTGTTTTCTCCACGAATCCACCTTAGACAGCTGGTAGCCCGAGAAGAATTCATTATACTTAGTCGCTGTGAAAGCTTCAGATCATACATGATATTGTTTTTGTATGTTTTTGTATGCCTCCTAAAGTTCAGCTACTCAAAAATTAATTTCAATCAGATGCTTTTCTTTTAAATTAGTGTTCAAGATGACAAATCATTGTTCAGTATTTAGTGTACTTTTAGAGCACACTTTATCTTGGAAGAAGAGGATGGACATTTGGTGGGTGTTCCAAGGCACAATCTTCCTGCTATGTGCAATTACTACATCAGTGAGTCACCCGCCAGCTATGCCCAGATGAAGTGGCATTATACTCCTTAGATAACATTCACGTATGACTCCATGTTCTTTGTAGTAGACATAGATGAGTTTAAACTACAGCCTCAAGTGTTTTTTTTAATCTTATGTGAAGTGTAATTGCTGTAGGAAGAGTCAGAGAAAATTCAGCACAATATTTCTTGGGGTTTGAGCATCTAAAGAAATAGTTCCAAATCTTGTAAACAAAGTAAGATTAACTCACTGTACTACAAGAGAATAAAATATGCCTTTATAGAAATTTTTGCTATCCTGATGTCACATTAAAACTAAGGCAGATAATTTAGTTCTAGATTATCTTTACGATATAGTAAACATGAAACCAACTGCGGATCTTAAGGCCCCACTTGAGTCAGCACAAGGAATAAAAATTGGCTTCTTTGACCAATTGCCAACCTCTCGTGTATTATTATGACATATTCCACATCTAATTGTCATCTGAATAACCTATAGATCTATCGATTATAATAAATAAGTATGTATGCAGTCTATTTAGAGGGCAAAATACAGAAGTGGATGCAGAACAGATCAATGGTCACAGTGCAAAGTTCATTTTGTTGCTAACCCCTAATTCAGTCAATATGATAACCACATAAACATGCCACTGAATTTTGGGTTTATTCATGGTAACCTATAAGACTATTATGTATCCCCTAACCTGCCACTGAGTTTGAAGTTTAGTTAAAGTTACTAACAGACTATTATGTATCCCCTAACCTGCCACCGAGTTTGAAGTTTAGTTAAAGTCACTAACCCTATAAAACCAATAAGTAGCTTAATGCAGTTGGTCACCATGTTACAAAGGTATGAAATTACTAACTTTTTATATTATTCATGTAGAAGTTACTTGAGAAGCTAAAATCCTTTATCTGAGATACCAGGTTCTTATGGCAGGAAAGATATTGACCATGGTCTTCTAGTTTGTGATGATTCTGTAAGTGGTTACAAAAATTTAGGAGAAACCAATCACACCAATCTTCAGGGTAAATTGCCCATGAAAATGTGAAAAGAGAAGAAGGGGCATTGGTAGCCACCCGCAAGACCACACGCTGTCTCAACCCAGAACGCCACAATCAACATAAAATACTTTTAAGCACGTAAAGTCATTATACAACTGGCACTGGATATTTTACCATCACAAAGATGAGGATACACTTCATTACACATCTTATAAAGAATTCCCCACATCTGACAGACCTGCAACGAAAATTAACACATATAATAAGCCATTATTTGAAAGTGGATAATTATTAACAGTTTTGTCTAGGAAAAATGACCAACATTCACGATTACCGGGGTTCAAGAACTGTTTTCAGGGAAGTGTTATCCATACATTTTGGCAGAAATAAACATATAAACTTACGCAGCTGTCTTCAGTTTTGTTGAATTTTGACAATCTGAAATGTTCTGGCTTCACGTTCACATTAAACGAAAGTTTCACATGTTTGCACAGCAGTGCTATTACGGATTTAATGTCCGACATTATCCTGTCTTCGATAATTTATTTCAGTTCTTTAAGTCTGCGTAATATGGTACTTATTAATCTCTTAAAATTTAAACTTTGTGCTTCACAACCGCCATGATCCACAACTATCAAACTTTGTTTACATCTCATCCACTAGATTGCAGGTTAACCTTCAGAGGTTTCTCCATCTGACGGACATGATTAGTACCATCTGAACGGAACTTACCGGAATATTCCCCTCCCCCGATCACCCCTTGGTGTTGTTACTGCTATGATTTGTACTTCTGTCTGTATTCGTTTATCTGTCATCCAGGATTCGGCGAAGCTGTGCAATAGACATGTATTTGTACTAAAATCGGAACTAGTGTTCAAGGAAATAATTACGTAAGTGAATGTAGCGTTGTAAAATTGTTTTGCGATCATTTTGCTTTGTTTATATTTGTGTATATACTCACAATTAGAAGAAGTTACATTGAAAGTGACATAGCAAACCACTGGCTAATAGTACCCTTTGAGGTTAGGTATAGTAGTTGTTTGACCTCTCGTAAACGTAAGTCGCAGTTCTTTTTCTACTGGGTTGTTTGACCTCTCGTAAACGTAAGTCACATTTTTTTTTCTACTGTAACTGGAGAAATTAAGTGAACATTTACTCGCAAAATATAAATTTCATCACAATCTCCACCATTATCATCACTGTTCCATTGCTATTAAAATTGTAGTGGGCAAGACTGTGTTGATAAATCTTTTCAGGATACTTATGTCCAGATGCCATTTCATCTGCTTTCCCCACCATTTGGTAATAGAATTTTATCGACATCAAACATGGAGCAGAGTCCTTCTTGAAAGCTGATAGTCCCACTAGTTAAGACATTTGTTGTTCAGCAGACCTCGTCAATATTCCGTGTCCTGCATTAGACCATTATAGTCAACACCCTCACGCATTAACTCTGGGTCATTTTACATCAAATACAAAAAATATCCAACCCATCATTCTCAGAATTAAATTATTTTTTGTGGGATTGTGGTCACAATGAAGATAAGTATTTCTGAGATGGTAAAGTTGCGTCATATTGTGATATAATAAATATATATTATTTAAATCTTGTCCGTCTAATCACAATAAGTTCTTATTAAATATTAAAATATTACAATAATTAACATTTAAAATATTTAAAATATTAAATGATGTTCTTTATCGAAATATTCGATTTACATTAGAATAGAATAGAAATCGAATATTTCGATAAAGAACATCATTTAATATTTTAAATATTTTAAATGTTAATTATTGTAATATTTTAATATTTAATAAGAACTTATTGTGATTAGACGGACAAGATTTAAATAATATATAT